CTTGAACACTTCCAGGGATTGGGCAGCCACAGCTTCTCTGGGCAACCTGTGCCCATGCCTCACCACCCTCACAGGGAAGAATTTCTTCCTGATACCAAATCTAAACATACTCCCTTTCAGTTTGAAGCCATTCCAGATTGTCCTATCACTACATGCCCTTGTCAAAAGGACATTTTTTTTTAGTTTATTTTCAGTAATAGCCAGCTGTTAGACAGCAACTTCCTTTGCAGGTCTTGGAGTGCTTTGCAGAAGGGATCAAGATCTCTGCAGAGGAAGAGTGGTGCTTTTTCCTGCTTCATGGAGGAGGAGGATTCATCAGGGAGCATTTGCTCTACTTATATGTCTTGCAAAAAGCCAGAGGGTTTACTCACTTAGAACAAACAGCCCTTAGCCCCATCAGGATGTTTTTTGGGGCTAAATCCATCACCTGAATTTCTGAGGGGGAGCAGCTAGTCCCTGTGGTTGCTCATGCAAGATTAACCCTCAGGCTGAAAGGTGCCGTGTTAAGGTGTCCTGATTTGGATGCCATCTGTGCTGTAGGAAATCACTGATTAAAATCAGAGCTTGTATAAACATAATTAAGAATAAAATTTTTTTTATAATTATTATATAATTTTAACCTTTAGCTCTTAAATGAGAACAGAGATATGACCTGATGAAGAAAAGAGATAAAGGCCAGAAGGGGACATTCAATGCTCTGTTCTTCAACAGTTAGTTTCAGCAAGTAACCACTGTAAATGTTCAGTAATTTGCATTTTGGCTAAAGCAGCTGCTCTGTAAAGATATCCAACTGTGCTCAAAAACATCTGGACATGAGCTACCTGTAACTTCCCGTGGGAATTAGCTTCCCTGGTTAACCACAGTTGATTTGAGAAGAAATGATGCCTTGTTTTCCAATTTCCATCAGTGCAGTTTCAGCTTCCCCTCCTTGTGGACCTTGCTCATGCAGGATGCTGCACTGTGCTGCTGGCTCTGGGCCATGCCATTTGGTGTCCAAAGCAAAACTACAGTGCATTCACAGCTGGGAGTGGCAAAGGGCTTTGGGAATGGCACAGGCACTGGCACAGGCTGCCCAGAGGAGCTGTGTGAGGAGGGTTGGAACTAGAGGATCTTGAAGGTCCCTTCCAACCCAAACCACTCTACAATTCTAAGAGGACTTGAGGCTTTTTTGGCATGGTTGGCATAGAGTTGTTGGCCGAGAGATGTGGAGTGCTTATCTTATGTTCAGTGTAAACATTGAGTGGCAATTCAGCTGCTTCTTCTTCTTCCCTGGGCCCTGGAGAAAACAGCGTGTAAAGCTCTCCTTGCATCAACAGGGTTTCCTCTGCTGAGCTGGACTTTTGTGTTGGTGGGTGAGATGATAGCCCTGGTGTTACCATATGCCTGTCAATAGAAACACCCAAGGAGACTGTAAAAAATTTAAATAACATATTTATAAAAAGCCTGCCTGCTGCTCTGAACACGGCACTACTGAGCCCCATAAGATTGCATCTGGTTGAGGGCTGGGCAACCACTTGCCTGGCTCCTGCTTCATCTTCTCCTTGGCTGATCCTGTGCTTTTACAGTGTCATATCAAAGCCCTCTCCTGTTTAGTAGGAGCAGAGCTGAAGGGCAGCAGATCCTGTCCTTTAGAAAAAAAGTATTTTGTCTGACCTGGAGGCTTTGCTCCTGGCCAGGCTGCAGCCTTGCATAACACTGGCTTGGTGAGCCCATGCCAGCCACCTGAGAAGCCTCTGAGCTGGAAGGCAAGGAGAGGAAGATGTTTGGAGGGGAGGAGGGAAGAGCCTTTCAGCAAGTATTTAGTCCTGGCCGATGCAAACACTTTCAGTCCTTCTCCCTGTTGGAGCTCTTAGAGCCATGACTGTTACCAGCTGGCAGGAGCTGGAGCATCTGGATGATGCTGGAGGTGAAAAGGGGAGTCCACAACACCACTGAGTCATAAGTCTGGCTCAGTCTTCCAACAAAGTAGGTTTTTTTCTAACTCCTTCATGGCAGGTTGGGAGCAGACCACTGTTGATAAAAATTCATGCTAAGAGTGGTGAGTGCACATTCCCCTCACCGCTCACAGGCAAACACATGCATATGCAAGTGTAGAGTTGTTAATTCAAATCAGGCATAAAAACACCCAGTTCTTACGCTCCTGGAGCATCTGAGCTTGGTCCAAGAAGGCAAAGAGTAATTAGACAGCCTTTGGGCATTTTAATGTGGCAGAGGTGAAGTTCAGTCTGGTAAGCATGAAATGCTGCAAATTAGAGAGTAATGAATTTTAACACTGCCCTAAGAACATTCCCTCTGCCCCTTCCTTTTAATTATTTTTCAAGGTGGTTTTTAAATTATTTGTTTGATTTTCTAAATGATCCTGAACAGTATGCCTTCCCCTTCTGCTTGGCATTTCCTTTGCAACTCAAATCCATCTACATGCTGTCATGTGAGAGTAGCCCTGCAGCGAGGACAGATGGCTAGCAAGGTGACAGTCACTGTAAGGTGGAATAGCAGGGCAAATTTCAGGCAAATCTGGGCATCAGAAAGGCTGGAACTCCTTGGCTGAGATCACTGCCATCCGTTCTCATAGGGATGGACATTGCACAGGGTGTCTTGTGAAAGTGTTGCAGGGATCACTGGAAAGCACAGCTCCAAGCTGCAGGGTGTAGCAGTAATTTTATGAATGAGCAGCCAAGTGCCAGCCCTTGGCCATGGTACAGGCTGCAGAGAAGCATCCAGCATCTCCTACATCAAACCCAAAACTCCTGCCTTTAACTTCAGTGTGGCTTTTAGAAAGGCACCAGACCTCCCTCCTCCCCTCCTTTCCAGGCTCCCTTCCTGATCTCTCTGGTTCTTTCTGCACAACCTCCCATAGAAATACCCTCTCGTGTCTCTCAGCCCACTTTATGCACCAGTCCAGGCAATTAATCTTGCATGTCAGCTAGCAGCGTCTTCCTCCTCTCTCAGCCTGTTGTGCTCCTGCAGAAGGCAGTTGCCAACCATCCTTTCCCAGCACTGCTGCTTTCCCCGCATCTCTCTGTGGCAATGAGTGCTATCACTGTGAAAGTCTTGGCCTCACTGTCACTCAAAAGCTGCTGTTCAGTGCCAGGATGTCCCCATGACCTCCCTGGATATACCTCCCTTATTTTTCACCCCTTCTTCTGCTGGAGATCTGAAGGCTAGTGCCTTCCCTGGCCCTTTTAGCAGGGTGGATTGGACTACTGGGTGCATTCCTGGACTGCTCAATGAGGCTGTCAGCCTTTCCACAAGGATCAAATTTGGTGTATTACTTGGGGGTTTATATCAGGCCATTTATTTTTAAGGCTTTTCTGAGGGCAGGTGATGCACTTGGGCCTCTTTGTAGCATCTGGGATTCTACAAAGCATCTGGTACTGATGGGGGGGAGAAAATCCCCACAAGCTGCTTTTGTAACTCCTCCTCAGTAGCACAGACCTGTGGAGCAGCCAGCAAGGGGATTATTTTGGGTTCACTTAAGCTCTGAGTGATGAGCACTTGTGCTGCTAATCAAGCTGATAAATGTTGTCAATTAAAAACCATGCTTTGCTCTTCAGCTTTCCATAAGTAAAGTGTTTTTGTCTTGCCCAGAGGAGAGAAGGCTGGCTGGGTGGGCAAGGCTCCTGGAGCATCAGAATGGGCATTAGTTTAGCTCTCAGACACCTACCTTCCTTCTGCTAATCCTAGTGGTTCATTAACAAGGGATGGGACACTGCTACTTAAACTGGTGGCAGCCATAAGTGATTATATAATCCTTGGGATTTTGGGTGTTTACAAATTAGCTGCTTCCAATTAGCCATTATTAATGGCTAATTTCAGTATCCCACCACGTGTTGTGATACCACAGCAAGCATATGGTTTCTGTATGTCTCACTGGGAGGGATGAGAGGTCAGCTTGCTGGATGCATCCGTTCACTGGATGGGGCACCCTTAGTTTTACCATTAGTTTTCACCCTTAGTTTTCTTTAGTTGGAGACTAAATCTGGGATTATGTCACCTAGGAATGTGCTTTAGTGGTGGACTTGGCAGTGCTGGGTTAACAAGTGGCGTAGGTGACCTTAGAGGTCCTTTCCAACCTGAATGATTCCATGCTTCCATGGTTATGTGGCACACACATTCCCATTTCTTTAGGAAACCACACTAGATATTTCCAGACTGAGGTCACTAATGGCCAGCTTTTGAAAAAGGACATCCCATTTTGGGGAGAGATAAGGATTGTATATGGCTGTTATAAATAAATACAGACAAACTTTACAGAAGGAGTTGTTTTGGAAGACGTCTGTGATTAGGTAGTGGGGAACTATGCAGAGCACCCCTTGTCCTTGTGCCTGAGCAAAGGGGTTGGTACCCACGGACCAAAAGGTAGGGGTGATAGAGCAGTGATGGAGAGGTGCTGATCTCTCTCTGAGGGGCATTTGAGCAATGGTTTCCTGCTTTTGTCTGGATTGCTAAATTCACATCTCTGCCCTGGAAGCAGAGACGCTTGTCAGGAAAGAGTAATTAATCCAGAAACATGTGGTGCTCTGCCAGGAGACCTTTTTTTTAATTAAAAACCAATCTGATAGAGTCTGCTGAGAAATTGGTGCCTCTTACAAAATCATGAAATGCACAGTTTTGTGAGTTGAGGCTTCGTGGTCCGGGTGCTCTGGGTACGGCTCAAGCCCCACAGCTCTGCACACCCATCTTGCAGGGGGTGTCTGGGTGTCTTCCTCATTTGCCTCTGAGGGTTGTGTTTTTTACCCAAATGAGTTACAAATCTGTTGAGAAGTAGGGCACCAATTATTATCTACTGCTGTGCCTCGTTTGGTGTCATTTGGCCAGCATGGGGGGTAAATGAGAGTCCCAGCCCCGGGGGATCACCAAGGTACACTTGGGCTCAGAGGTGGTTGTCTTCAGCCACGATGTCTTGGTGCTGTCACTCAGATGCTGCAGGGGAGGATTGAGTGTCCCTGGGCAGAGCGTGCCCCGTCTCATTCCTGCTCTCCTGTCCTCCAGAGCCGGTGGGGAAGGATGTTTTCCTCAGTGAGGCCATACGAGAGCCAGCGCTACGCCTCTCTGAAGAAGGAGTGCCAGCGGCGGAAGCAGCTCTTCGAGGACCCGCTCTTCCCCGCCAACGATGACTCGCTCTTCTACAAGTCGAGGATTCAGGGCATCCAGTGGAAGAGACCCAAAGTAAGTGCACCCACCCCCTTGCCCCTCAACACTGCTTTCTACCATCTCTGCTATCAGGCGTTCCTAAAAATGCACGGTGCTGTTGCCCTGATTCTTAAGATTTTCTAAAGCCTTCTGAGTTTATGTTCTTGTAGAGAACTTTCTCACATAATTTGCTGTAAACAATCTATTGTTTTGCATTCCTCCATAGAAGCAGAAAAATTTAATGTACTAGTAGTTTCTCCAATGTCATTGGAGAGGTGGCACATTCACCCTCCAATTCACTGTCACCTTTAGAAAAGTATAAATGCTGGAGTCAGAAAATAAACTTCCTCTTTTTCCCCTTTGCAATAGCAGCAGCTCGCGTTGTGCTTTCACGTGTCCCATAGCAACACAGTGCACCCTTCACCAAGGCTGTCAAGACCCAGTTGACATCTCTCCCCAACAGCATTTACTTATGACCTGATACTATGAACATCTAGGGTGCCAGGAAGAACTGCTGCACTCAGGTCCAAGCTTTTCTGCACCCAGTGAGGTCCAAGAGCAAAGGAAGCTTTTCTGTGACTCAGTTTCCCTGTGCATAAACCAGAGAGATGGTTTGCAGCTGAGTTGGTGTTGTGTGCTCCTGTATAGCTGGTGGGTCCAGCAAGGCAGAGTGTTATCTCTGAATCACAGAATAATTTGAGTTGGAAGGAACGTTAAAGATCTAGTTCCAACCCTCCTGCCAAGGGCAGAGACACCTTCCACTAGAATATTCTTGGTGGTCCATTTGGAAAGGGAAAAGAAGATAAGCTTTGGGTAGGTGAGGTGGTTTTAGCATCTTTGGGGAAGAGGGTGGTGATACCCACCCTTCCTCTTCTCTGCAAAAACCATGTCCTCTGCCTCTCCTCCGTGCTGCTGTGTCTGTCATGAGGGCAAGTTGCAGGAGGCTGGGGATGAAATTGTCTGTCCCCAGTCTTGCCAGTCCCACTTCTGCTCTCCTCAGTGCCAGCCCAAAGGATCCACACCAGGACCTGAGCGCAATATGGGGAATTTGTATGTCTTGTTATGCCCGTCTGCTTGGAGTTAACCATGAGAGCAGTGCTCTGACTGCCGTGAAACACAAGGAGTCCCAGGTAGCAGTGATAATTGTGGCTGGGGAGTGGCAGTATCCCAGCATCTCACACACCTGGGTTTCCTTCCTTCCCTGTGGAGAGCAGCAGCCCTCTCTGCCCAGCCTGTGCTTTTCCACATGTGACTTGGTGGCATTTGAGTGTTGTAGGGTTCCTGAGCTGCCATCATTGTCTTCGCCCCTGCTGTCAGCCCAGAAAATCAGCTGGCTTTCCACAAGACAGTGCTGTGTCTGTCTGGGTGAGGCCAGTCTGGAGGGGGGTGCACAAAAGGCTCTGTGTGAAGGGAGAGATGGAGCTGAACTGACTCTTGTTGTGCAGCCAGAGGGGCTGAGCCCCCCAGCATCCCACTGGGCTCCTTGTGGGAGGAGGCTTCACTTCCCTCTGCTCTGCCTTTGTGTCTTCCACTCCAGCTCTGCCTGGATACCGGATTTGTGCAAAGCCCTGTGTGTGTTTTACTTTATTCCCCTTGTCTGCTGGAAGGAAAAGAGGCTTTGTGCACAGCTGCCTTCTGAAGACCATGGTTTGGTCTCATTGTGGGGGCCAACATGAACACACCTCACACATCCCATTTATACAGCAGACAGGTGATAGCTGAGACTTTCTAAACAACTTTCTCTGGGACTAAAAGGTGGGGATGTATTTGAGACCCCTAGCTGATTTGCAGTCAGGTCACACACATTACTTCAACCACATGTCTAAAGACAGAGGGTTGGATCCCTTTGTAGAGGGACAAAGATTGTTGTGTTCTGCTGAGCATCTCAGACCTTTTCTCCATCTGCTTTTCTGCCTTTCATCCCACTTGCAGCCCTTGGTGTTCAGGCAGATATTATCCTCTTGCTGCCTTGCTCTGTAGAGCACAAGGTCTTTCTAAGAAAGCTTTCTGAACCTCATCTGCAGGATGTCATGCTCACCTAGTCCAAACCCATCCCTGCTAAAGCACAGAGTGAATTCAAACTTTTTCCAGCCACCCAGCTCTGCAGTTTCATATGATCACAGAACTAGGTAGGAGGGGACCCTTAAAGAAATTAGCAGAGAATGTTGCACCAGGGCTCTTTCTGGCATGGGCTGTCAGTGGGAATGAAGGCTGGAAGTGGGTCCCATGTGCCAGCAATGAGACTTAACAAGACACAGAGGTGGTCCTTGTTTTGCTGCCTCTGCACCAGATAAAGGGAATTTTGCCAGCAGTTTGGGAACCAGAAGAAATGCATGCTGAGCAGTGGCAGACTCATAATGCCCCTGTCTGATAGGATTGTTTGATCAGACCTACTCAGCTGTCTTGACCACAAAATCACCATGAAAAAAAAATTTGAGCTCACACCTGCCCTGTTTGCTGCTAAAGTTTCGAGAAACCTCTTTCTTAAAAGCATTTCTCTACGTTCTTTCTCTCAATTGTTCATTTCAGCAAAAGTAACTCAATTTCACATGGAGAACTGTAGGACTTCGTTGTGCCAGCAGAAAATGCAAAATTACATTTTTAGTTGCTGGACCTGATTCTGCCTGAATTCATACTGGCTTTCTAAGGGAGAGAGTCCAGGAAAAATCCCAGCATCTTCTGCAAGAAAGAGTCACTATCAGCTTTTCCAAGTTAATGCAGGATTCAGTAGAGTCCAAAATGTCCATGAAGCTTAAATTAACTGATCTGTTTGTGTGCTATTGAATGGCATGATGAATTTATTAAACCACAGCATCTCGTTTCTATTAAAACCAGCAAATCTTATCTTAGGCAATCACAGTTAAATCTCTTTCAGAAAAAAGCAAGTGGTGATACTCCCAGCTTTTGGCAGATGCTGTTTTGAGGATTTCCTTACCAAGAATTGGATTCCCCAGACCCAGGGATACTGTTTACCGGGAAGGGGTGGCGTTTTATCTCTCAGGGCCACAGCCATGGGTTGTTCTGGCATGTTTCAGCTAAAACTGTGATTAAACATAAGAGCTCATTGTGTCTCTAGCTTTGCTGTGAGAACAGAGTAGGTGGAGAATGGAAATAAAAGCTGTCCACTATTAAAAACAACCACTTGCTTTCTCAGAAAAATTGCCACTTGTGATCTATGAAAAGAAATCAGACACAGGAGATAAATTGTGACCTGAGAAGCTGTAGCTGCCATATTTCCTGGAAGTGGTCAAGGCCAGGCTGGGGGGGCTTTGAGCAACATGATCTAATGGAAGGTGTTCCTGGCCACAGCAGGGCAATCAGAACTAGGTGATCTTGAAGGTCCTTCCCAATGAAAACCATTCTGTGATTTTTTCAGATAAAGCATTTCCATGTGAAAAGCATCCACAGTGAGCTCACTGGGTGCTGGGAATGCGCTTTAGCAGAGGCAGGATCTTATTTCTGTATACCTCCATGGGGCTAGTATGGATCTAAGCAGTCTGTCCTTCATGTGTGCATCTCTACATTCCCAACTTCTTCCAGCATCCTCTCTGTTCCTCCATGCACTCCCAAAGCTTGACGCTGCTTTGGCAAAAAAAAACCAACAAAACCCCCAATCTCTGCAGTGCTTTCCCTTTTGTTTGAGGTTTTTCTGGGCACAGGGGAAGAGGAGAGGATGAGGAACAGCTCTGGTCCGTTCCCTGGTCAGGCTGTTTTGCTTCAACTTCCTCCTGCATCCGGCACTGCAGCCTTTCCTGGAATGGGCTCAGCTGTATTATTTCCAGCAGGGTGTCCTCCCTCCCTCCCTGCTTTCCTTGGCCTCCAGCCTTGCTCTGGATGCCAGATCTTTGCAGAGGGAGCAGCTGTTTGAGCCCTCTAATCGTGTTTTGGCTCCGGTGGTTGTTTGCTGGATGCCTTCATGATGCGGCCGGGCGAAGCCAGAAAGCCAATTACTGGAGTGCTTCGGAGGGAGGGAAACCACAGCATCAGCCAGAGCAGGGAAGGGGGTCCTGAAGAGCCCTGTTTAGTGAATCCACTTAAAAACAAAGCTGGCTGCTCGTTGCCTAGCCAAAACAGATTTTGGAGATCACTCAGGCAGCATCAGCAGCTCCTTTTGGCAGCAGCACTCGGCTGTTGCATTAGAAATTAAATAGAACTTCTGAGCTTAGCCCAAATCCCAACACCTTGCTTGAAACTTCTTTCTCTTGTGCTCTGTATGCTGCCATGCAAAGGAGAGGGAAATCTGTATCCAGACAAGAAGTACCACTTCCAGTGGGAATCTCAGCCTGATCCTCAAGCTCTGAGTTTTGCCCTCCCGTTTTGGGACAGGAGTGCTGGCCGCGCACCTTGGAAGGGAGAGGTCTGGTCTGCACATTGGGTGAGCTGGTCTGGATGCCTGGCAGGTGGGTAAATAAGAAGGAGTGGCACAAAGATGAGTAGAAGGGGATGGATGAGGTGCAGGATGGATGGCAAAAATAAGGGGAGATTTGGGGCATCTGCTGTGCCTGTTGATCCCCTATGGAAAAAACTATGATGGTGCAAGGTAGAAGCAACTCATCTACCCTGTGGGGAAAGAAGAGATTAATCTCTTCTAATAATCACTGCCCCAAGCTCTCTTATTGAGTGCTTCCAGTGATGCCATGGGATTGCTACAGGCTTTGATCAGGATCTGTCTTACACCCAGGGCTTGTATTCTCTGCACCAAGAGGGCCACTTGGTTCAGGTTCAGCCCACCATGACCTGCTGCTGGGATGGGTCACCAGCCAGGACAAATTTTGGCATCACTTCACCTGTGGGAAACAATTGAAGCCTGGTGGATGTGGCATCCACAGCTTCTCAGGACAACCTGGTCCAGTGTCTCATCACCCTCACAGGGAAGAATTTCTTCCTAATATCTAATCTAAATCTGCCCTATCTCACCTTAAAGCCATTCTCCTTTGTCCTGTCATGCGCGATACCTTATGTCCATTGTCTTCTGGACTGGATGCTGTTGTCTTTGGAGGAGACAACGTTTCCCTCCACGCCTGTTTCTCAGTACT